GCGCGGCGGGAACCAGGGTTCCGCGGCAGAGGCCGGTCGGACCTCAGGACGCAGGAGCCAGCATCCATGCACACCCGGCACCTCTCCCCTCGCCCCTCGCCCGGTGCTGAGCGTGCGCGAACTCCGCCCCTTTAACCTCGCCGAGCGCGAGCAGCGTTCCCATCCTACAGATGCGTAAACTGAAGGCCCGCGGGGACGCGAGATCTCCTCGAGGCCCACGGCAGAGCCGGGACGAAACCCATCCTCGCTCCTACAGGGCGTGCTCGGAGTCCTACCTTCGCTTCCCTCCTGCTACTATCGGGGCAATGGGACACGGAGTGCACGCCCGGCTCTGCACGCCTTAAACGCCTGTGGTTCCGAGCACGCTCCCCTTTCCCCTACCGGGGTTTCAGGCCCTGTACGGCTAAAATGGAGGCTCCCCATCCCGAGGTATCAGACCGGTGTATGCTTTGGGAGTCGAGTACGTTTTGGCCCCTGGTAGAGCTGACACGGGGCGGAGAGGTTGCTTTGAGCCCCCAACACGGTCTCCCCGATCGCCACCCCCTCCTTGCTCCAGCTCTCGTGGGCGTGGTTTCTTTCCTTCGAAGGTTGTTTCCAAGGTTCCTGGATGCGCTGTGGGTTTTCCAGTCTGTTACACCTTCGTTACTACCTCCCACGCAGTATCTCTCGCTGCCCCTACGCCGGACCACAGCAAGACAAGAGGCTGAGTCAGTTATTTAGCTCCCCTAGGATTGATGGCCAGCAAGGCCCTGTCCTAGGAGAGCAGGGCTCCATCCTCTTCTTTCCCTAGTCTTTGCTTTCTCTCCATCTTTTTTCTCTTCCTTTTCCACGTGTTCCTTGTCTTCCTCCCTTCCTCATGCCCTTTTTATCTTCCTTCTCTTCCACCCCCTCTGACCCCCACCCCATGAACAACACACACCAGGCACCAGGTCAACTTCTCTGTCCCTTCTCAAAATGTGACTTCATCCAGATCCAAGTGTGTAAGTGCCCCTCACATCCTCCAGGTGTCTCCCACGGAGCCCGGAAAGGGCCGGGCTGCTCAGCAGGTTCTGGACCAACACTTCCTTGGGGCATTCCCACCTCCTGACAAGAACCGCCCCCCAACACGCACCCCCAGGCAACACAAGCAGCCAACAAGAGGGACACAGAAAGGGCTTGTCCATCCCTGGCCTTGTGGAGCACACGGTATGGGGGGAGATGGACCATAGATCCAGCGCGGTGGCCTGGCATGGCACTAGAGCAGCCATGCTAGGCAGTGATGTGGAAGACTTGGATTGGTGGCCTTCCCACTCTCTGGGCCTGTGGGTCCCCATCTGGTCTGGTCTAACAGCGGATGACAAGGTCCTCCCAGGTCTGATGTCTCTGCTGTTTGTAGCCTGGCTCTGGTGGGGCACAGACAGATGCTATGTGACTCTTGGAAATTGCTGCCCCTCTCTGTGCTTGTTTCACCTCCTACACAGATGTGAACTTGGAAGTGTTTGATGATGTGAGTCTGTGTGAGGGACATACCAGACTAGACTGGCTTAGCCACCCCTGACACACCCTTGGCCACACAAGTGGTGCGGAGATTAGAGTGACCTGCCCCTCGCTTTTGGGACCAGGGCCTGAGTTCTGGTGCTGTCCCCCATCCTTTCCGCTTCCCAACACTCCGGCTGAGCAGGGGCTGAGGGCTCTCCCTCTCTGTGTGTGTTTGGACTTATGGCAAATCCAGGGCACAGCAAAGCCTGGTGGGGAGGAGCTCAAGGCTCAGGTGAGGTACAGGCTGGGGCTCTGGACTCAGAGTTGATTCAGAACAAGTCAGACTTGCAAGAGGTGAGACTTGCTGGGAGCCCAGAACTGGCTATGTGCAGGTGGGTAGCTGTCCTCAGCTGCCAGCAAGCCCTGCAGCTGTCTGGCCCATGGCTACTTACTGTGCCAGGAGCTGGGATCAATTTTTTCAGTAAAAGATCTTAGAATGGTGTTTATATGTTCTCTTCCTCCTTCCCTCCCTCCCTCCTTCCCTCTTTTTCTCTCTCCTCAAAGTTTTATTGTGTTGCTTAGGTTGGTCTCAAACTTCTGGGCTATGGTTATTCTTCTCCCTCAGCTTCACCAGTTGTGGGACTACAAGTGCTTACCATTATCCCCTGGCTCAGAAACACCAAGAACTCCTTGTACCTGATTGCATTTTTCAAAGATAGTCACACTGTCACCTGGCTTAACTCAGTTCCTCTTCTTACAATGTGACACTGACACACCAACACACCTCCAGTTGGGGGTGACAGGATCTGTGTTCCCTTGCAAAGTTAGGTCATAAAAGGCAATATGAGCTGGGCATGGTGCTCCTCACTTGTAACCTCTCTTGGAGGCTGAGACAGGAGGCTCACTGGGAGTTCGAGGACAGAATGGGTTGCATAGTGAATTCAAGTTCAGCCTGAAGTATGTAGCAAGACCCTGTTTCAAAAAACAAAAAAAAAAGAGGGCTGGGGATTTAGCTCAGTGGTTCTGGAGCCTGCCTCGCAAGCGCAAGGACCAGAGTTCGATCCCCAGTACCACAAAAAAAAGGGGGGCCAGGGATTTAGCTCAGTGGTGCTGCCTGCCTTGCGAGCATAAAGACCCAAGTTCTATCCCTAGCACAAACAGACAAACGAAGGCAATGTGGCTTCTACCCAGTCAGCATTCTCCCTCTGTCTTTCTCAATACCCCCCGCCCCGTCTCTCCACTCACTTGGAATCCAGTGTCCACATGGGCAGGAAGCCCAGGCCACGTGAGGAGTTTCAACAACACGTCCAGCTCTGGCCCCCATTGACCACTGGACACAAGACGATTCAGCCTATCTCCAAACCGCCCCACCTGACAAGTGGAGCAGAAATGAGTTGGCTCAGTGACCCTGTCCAAACTGCAAAACAAATACTGTTTCAAGCCATCAAGTTTTAGGGCCATTTGTCACACAACGGTGGGTACCTGGAATGCACGGCCAAGGTCATGTAGCTTGGAAGTGGCCGGACTGGTGTTGATTTGAACCTAGGGCCACCCAATTTCAGATGGATGATGGAAGTAAAGGAGATGGCACATGGGGGGGTGGGCGTTTATTCTCCATGCAGTGGCAAGTCATTGGAGTAAGCTGGGCAGTGATACAGTCTCACTTATGTTTTGGAGGAAGTACATCATTCTGCTGGCAAGAAGAGGCGCTGGGAGATAGTTGTGAGGCCACTGAGCCTGTCCCTGGGAGCTAGGGGGGCTTGGGTGAGGCTGGAGCAGTTTAGAGGGAAGGAAGAGGGTCATCTGGAGATGTGTGCCTGAGCTGGCAATGAGGACTCGGCAAAGTCCAGTCCTGGTTTCTGGCTTCAGCTGTGGGGCAGGGCAAATGATGACCCCATATACCATGGCAGGAAAGGCAGGCTTGATGGTGCCCAGAGGACAGACAGGACGAGGGGTAGAGCAGAGAGTGAAGAGGAGTCTTTTGGACATGCCGTTTGGGGTGTCTGTGTAGACATCTAAATGGAGAACTCAGATAGGTAAGGGATGCTTGAGTGTGGAACCCAGGGTAGCACTTGGGTCTGGAGTCTTGAAGAGTCATTAGCACTTAGATAACATTCAGATCCTTGAGGCCAGGTGAGGTAACTTACGGAGAGGGTTTGTGGGGAGAAGAAAAACTGGCCCTGGAACCAGAGACTTAAGAATTCCTGGTTCTAGAAAAATGGGTAAAAGAATCAAAACCGGCCACAAACCGCAGAGAGGGTGATGCCAGAAAGGAAGCCAAGGGAGGAGGGAGGCTGGGGGAGACTGGTAGGGACCATGACAAGAGCAGGGGTGTGAGACAGAAGGACCAGGATGCACTGAGGAGGGAACAGAAAGCAGAAAGTAGGGAAAGAGAAATAGAGCAGCCATGAGGTGACCTTGAGAGCAACAGGGAGGATCCGGAAGAGGCTGGAGAGAAAAGCTGGGAGGCGGCTGGGGCGGAGCCAGGGCCGGGATCTGGCCCTGGGAAGTTCCCTTGTCCTGGAGGACAGGCAAAGAGATGGGTGACCTCCCGGAGGACTTCTGTGTACTCAGTGAGGAGGGCAGTCCCCAGCCGAGGGCAGGGAAGGGGCGCGGCCATTGAAAAGGCTGGGGATCCTCTGTGAGGGCGCCTCCTCAGAGAATGCAAATTCCACCGCCCCGGGCCAGGGATCTGTCGGGCCACCCGGCACACCTGCGAGAGGATCCTGTCTCCTCCGTTTCCAAGTCTACCTTCTAGTTTCCTATCATCTCTCTTTTATCTGACTTGTTTACTTATATTTTAGGTTTCTCAAGTAAGAAGAAACATGAATCCGACTTATTTCGCTTAGCACAGTGGTCTCCAGTTTGCATACAACATTCTTTGCGAACATCATTTTAACGCCCAGAAGTAATCCACTGAGTGGATGTTCCCCAGGTCACTCACCCTTCCCCTTTCATTGGACACTTACATTGCTTCCTGGAGATGACTGGTGTTGTCCAGGAGACTGAATGAGATCTGGTGGAGAAAGGAGGAGGCAGGGGTGTCAGGCTCTCTTGCATCAGAACCCTACCATAGCAGCTTTTTAGGGGCTGCTATGTAGCAAGGGTGTTCCTGCCAGGTCACATACTGAGTCTTCCTGTCCAGAGACAGCCAGGCAAACCCCACTGGCTTCTCAGAGTGCCCACTGGTTAGACGTTAAGCATGGGGAAGCGGGGCTGGGAGAGGCACTGGAGGAGAGGAAGCACCAGGAATGTAGCGGCACCTGAGCTGTTTACAGCTTCAACACACCTTGCAACAACCGTGTTTGAGATGGCAACAAGACCGTTCCCTCTCCTATTTTCCCCATAATACAAATCCTTTTCCCATCCCAGACCTCCTGGTGCAGCACTGCCCCAGGGCACCAGCAGAGTAGGGTATCTGGGGACTTAATGCCACAGGGTCTTTTGCAGGTGTGTGAAGATGGAGTGAGCACCTGTGGGACAACGAGTTCACTCACCCACGCACCCGACGCTAGTAACCACCAGGTGGGCATCCTGCCTGCCAGGGTATCCTGCCCTGGGAGGCTACTTGCTGTGGGGCTGGCAGAAGCCCCTACCAGCTTTGAGTTTTGTGGTGCAATGATACCATAGTCACCAAGGTCCTATTGTGAGTCAGGGACAGAGAAGTCATCCCCACTGAGCGAATGCTAACTGTGTTCCGGACACCTGTGCCCCATTTCACGGCTGCCCTCGGGACCGGGGGTGTGGGGATCCTCACCCACAGGCCCAGGCAGTTTCCCCTCGGCATCATGGGGCAACTGAGGGAGCATCGTGCTTTCCGGTGCCGCTTGACATCAAGGGCTTACCCTTAAGGGAAGGGTCCTCAGTGGTGGGCATCAGGTACCCACTGGTGCCTGGAATGGGTGAGAAGCTCCACCCACGTAAGAGCCAAGGAGCCCAGGATCCCCCCCCCCCGCTTTGGGATAATGGGGACAGAGCTGAGGACCAGACGGTGACAAGGTCTTGTTTGTGGGTTTGCAGGATTTGAGTTTCTATTATGTGGGATAATCACTGACAGGCCTTCCCAGCTAGAGCTGGGGCGGGCACAGGGCCAAGGCCTGCCACCCTCCGGCAGGTATAAGAGCCAGGCAGGAGCGCCTGGAGCAGGCTGAGGCAGTGGTGCCGGACCTCCACGGGGAGATAAGAGTTCAGAGCCAAAGCTGCTGTGTACAGACCGCCAGGTAGGTCGGGCCTGCTCTGGGTGCAAAGGAAATTGGGAGCTCTGGCTTGGCAAGGTGATCCCCCTCCCTACCGACCTCCTCAGTGGCCCCCAGGTGGAGGCTGCGTAGTGTCTAGACAGGGACTTAGGCCTGGTTCTCTAAAAGAGGCAGGGGGACCAGGGTAATAAGCACTGTCATTTGTGCTGCCCCAGTAAATGCCAAGTGCTGTGCGTCATCTCATGGAATTACAGAAGAGATGATAGAGGCTGACTTTTCATCCCAAGTCGTCAGGCATTAACTTTTTTTTTCTTTTTTTTTCAGACAGGGTATCACTATGTAGCCTAGATTGGTCTTTTTTTTTTTTTTCTTTTGGTCCTGGGGATTGAACTCGGCTCCTTGTGCTTGTGAGGTAGACAGCGGAACCACTGAGCTAAATCCTGGCCGCCCAGGCTGGTCTTGAACTCATGGTGATCCTCCTGCCTCAGCCTCCCAAGTACTGGGATTATAGGCATGCTGCACCACACCTGACATCTTTGTTTATTCTTATAACAGCCTTAGGAGGTAGATATTCATATTTTACAGATGTAGAGACTGAAGCAGAGATGTTAAGCAACTTGCCCAAGGACGCATAAAACATAGCCAAGCAGTAAAATCAAGATTTGAACCCCTTGATTCCAGAGGCTGTACGTGTGTGTGTGTGTGTGTGTGTGTGTGTGTGTGTGCGCATACTAGAGATCAAATCCAGGGCCTTGGGCATACCAGGCATGCACTGATACTGAGCTATATCTCCAGGTCTACTAGTAACTTTTTCATTGCAAAATACATTTTTTGACAGTGCTAGGGCTCTAGCCCAGAGCCTTGCACATGCTAGACAAGTGCTCTATCACTGAGCTACATCCCCAACCCCAAATGGTGTTTGTTTTCTCTCATTGAGTTTATTGGTACATTGTAGGTATACAGTACAGTTATCATTGGGATCTTGTACCTTTACATGACAGCTTTTGGTTCTCATTTTTTCTCCATATCCCTGCCCTCCTTTCACCCACTCCTCCCTTCCCTATTTACAAAAACCTTATTTCCATTTTCTCATATTTTTTTCTTTTCCCTTATGGTGTTTTTTAAAAAGCTTTCATCCTAGCTGGGCGCGGTAGTGCGTGCCTGTAATCCCAGCACTCGGGAGGCTGAGGCAGGAGGATCACTGAGTTGAAGACCAGCGTGGGCGACACAGTGAGTTCCAGGTCAGTCTCAACTACAGAGTGAGACCCTCTCTCAAAAAAACAGAAAGAAAGAAAGGGTTCATCTTGAGCAGGGGATTTAGCTCAGTGGTGCCACCACCTTCCTCATAAGCACAATGTCCAGAGTTCGATCCCCAGCACACACACACACACACACACACACACACACACACACACCCAAAACTGAAAGCTTTCATCTTTTAATCCAGGCGCCTCTTTTCTAGCTTCTGTTATGATTCACTTATGGGCTTTGAGAGGGACCTGCATTGCAGATGTCAGTCCTGTGAGGGCTTTCAGGAATGTCTGGTCTAATGTGTTAGAGGTTACAGGTGGGAAAACTGAGGCCCAAGGGTGCAAGTGGGCTTGTTCACATGCATCCAGGGAAGCAGAGGCCCTGCACCCCCAGCCTGGACCTTAGGCCCTTTCTTACCACAGTCCCCAGGGGGAGGTGGTAGAAGGGAATCACACCTGGAATTTATTGTCCATGGCTAACCTGTGTTAGAGGCTGAGTGAGGCCTTCGATGCCGCATGGCTCATAGACCCACCCAGTGACTACTGGGACTGAGGTGAGAGAGAGCAAAGGGCGGCTGTGGGCATGGAGCCAGCTGGGTGTGCCCCAGGCTCCCCCTTATCTCTGGCCTTGACTGGCAGCATTTCCTCCCAACAGGGCCAAACACTGGTCACAGCTCGGCTGGCTGCAGCGAAGGATGCGGGGGCTCCGCTGGCGGTACTCTCGGCTGGTGAGGGTCCTGCTCGGCTGGGGGTTAGGGCTGGGAGGAGGCTGAGCTCTGTGGTAGGATGAGGCCTGGGTGAGCTCGGAGACAGGCTGGTGACTTGTCCCGCTTCCCTGTCCCTTCCCCATGGGCCAGGGCTTTAGAACGAGGGCTGATGCAGGGACTTTAGCCCCCAGCCCCATGTTCCTGAGACCTGGAATGGGCAGATCACTGTTTCTGTCCCTTTACCCAGAGTGGGGGGCACATACAGCTCTGCCTTTCTTAGGCCTGGCCTGGAGGACTGGGGGGCATTTCCCATTCTAAAAGAGGTCACCTTTCCACAGAAAGCCTGCTGTCACTATGGGAGATCGGCACACACACACAGCTGCACACTTGCATACCCATACACACATTTGCACACTCAAACACATACCCCGGGATGGGAGTGGAAGTGTGGCTGAATGGAGTGGATGACATCATCATGTACACACTCACTGACACACATCTGTCTTTACACAACCCACCTTACCTCAAAACAGACATGTGACACACAAATTCACACCGAGCACATTCTCACACTGATTTGCCTGCACAACTCTATTCGAGGCCAGTACGCAACTCTCATGGACAGACACATTTTACACAGACCTATCTGTCTATGTGTTCGGCTTCACACAGGACTATATGCCTGGTCTCACTGGCTGCCAGGCCATCCTCTGGGCTTCTTTGGCATAATGGAGAGATTGGAAGCACATTCTTAGGATTTTAGGGGAAATTCAAAGAAAGCATGGTAGCAAGCATACATACAACACAGGCCTGGTCCAGTACAGGCTGTAGCAGTGTCAGCCACAGTCACCGTCACCACTGGTACCGTCATTATTACTTCATGTACAAACACGCGTGTCTGCTGTGCCCAGGGCTGGCTGTTCCTACCCTTCCTCCCTGTTTGCAGCTTAGAACCTGCTCCCCAGCATCCACCCCAGGTCCAGAGCAAACAGGCAGGCAGACTGCAGGGCCCACAGCCGCACTGGAGTGGTACTGGGCTGGGTGTGAGCCTCCGGTCCATGCAGAGCGTGGCCAGGGAGGAAGGAGGACAGGCAGAGTCCTGGCTGTCGCGGGCACTTGCGGATGTCCTAGGCTGGGCCAGGCCTTGCGTGGGCTCTGGGAACGGGTTAGCGGGTGCCTAAGGGTGCCTGAGGCTTTCAAGCTCAGGAGCTGGGGCAGGCAGGTGCCTCTTTATCCCTCAACCACCAGGTCTCTCTGTGTCTTCACAGCCCAGCCAGATGGAGGATGCCCTGTGTGGGGAGGACAGTGACGAGGAGGAAGAGGATGAAAAGAATGAGGCAGCCGCAGCCCCCGTCCCCAATCCTGAAAACCCCGTGGAGCCCCAGCTGACTGAAGCCAGCCAGGTTCTGGGTGCCTCGGAGATTAGGCAGGTTCGGCCTCTGTCACGCACCAGGACTTTGGCCCTGGAGCTCTTCCTTACCCAGCCACACCCAGGGGCACTGGGGTCACTGCTGCCTTGTCCCCTGTGCCTCATCATATCTTGGGAAAATCGTTTCTTCTATCTGGCCTCCTTTCCCTTTCTAGTGAAACAGCCCAGTAATCCTACCAACTGCCTCTGCCCTTCAGATCTGGTGAAAGATAATGTTTTTTCAGCACTGAGGATTGAACCCACCATCTTTCCACCGAGCTACATCCTTAACCATTTCTTATTTTTATTGTTTGTTTATTTATTTTGAGACAGGGTCTTGAGTAGCTGCCTTACCTGGATTGGAGTTGAACTTGTGATCACCCTGTCTTAGCCTCCCAGAATGCTGGGATTACAGGCGCATACACTGCGCCTGGCTAAAAGGCACATTCTGAGGTGGCACTGGCCCTTGGGAACTGAAGATGGGGGCTAGGGAGCTGAAGGGAGGGGCTCAGTGTCTATTCTGTTCTCTAGCCTCTGGTGACCGGGGTGACCAAGGGAGAGAATACTGAGAGACACCCGAGCAGGGCTGGCTTCCGGGCTCTGCTACTCACTGCCCCTTGGGGGCTTTATTTAGGTTGGTTGTCCCACATCCCAGGCTCACTGGTCACATCTTAAGACGGGGACAGAAACTCTACTTCCAAGGGTTATTGCTGCCAGATGTGAGAGCCACAGAAACAGTCAAGCGCCTTGGCCACCTGCACGGTGCCATTTGGCCCATCCTGGGATGGAAGGCAGGCAGCGGGAGGAGAATCCCTCACTCACCTATGTCCTTACCTGCAGCTCAGCCTCCACCTGCCCCCAAGGGTTACCAGCCACCCCTGGAGTCTGGCCTTCGGCACATCGAGGGACGGTTTCAGTCTGCGGAGATTGTACCGGCAGATGGAAGGTTGCAGCGGGCCGGTGCTGCTGGTCCTCAGGGACCAGGAGGGGCAGGTGAGCTGGGCAGGGCTCTGTGTCCAGCTAGACACCACTGGGCCCTACCCAGCAAAGCCTCAGGGACAGGATGGCTGAGGTGATAGGCTAAGTCACTTTTTATTATTTTTTTCTTGGTACTAGGGATTGAACTCAACCTTGTGCTTGTGAGCCACTGAGCTAAATCCCTGGCCCAGCTAAGTCACTTCTAATGGCAATGAGATCCACCCTATTCACAGCCAGTCCCTCCCTCACTTGTGCACTCAATACCTCTATCTATCATCTATCTATCTATCTATCTATCTATCTATCTATCATCTATCTATCTATCTCTTTGCTTTGCTATACTGGGATTGAATCCAGGCCCTTTGCTAAATTGCTGAGGCTAGGTTTGAACTTCTGATCCTCCTGCCTCAGCCTCCTGAGTGCTGTTATTACAGACATGCACCACCACACCCAGTGTGTCTGTCTCTGTCTCTCTCTCTCTAGTAGTACTGGGGATTGAACCAGTGTCTTTGCATTGAACTATTCTCAAAACTTCGTGATTAGTTAGTTTCTGAGACAGTACCTACATTTTGTTTTTGTTTTTTATATACTAGGGATTGAACTCAGGCCCTTGTGCTTCCAAGGCAGGAGGCAAAACCACTGAGCCAAATCCCCGGCCCCAGTATCTTTCTAAGTTACTAAGCTGACCTATCTGGGCTTGAACTAGAGATTTTCCTGCCTCAGCCTCCCAGAGTGCTGGGACTACAAGTGTGCACCCTGTAGGGAGGGAACAGAAAGGATAGAAAGGACCCATCTCTTTTTTGTATCAAAATCTGTACACTGGTGTTAAGTTGAGGTGGAAAGGAAATGCACCAAAATGTCAAATTACCTTGGGAAGGAAGAAAGGGGGGTTGGAGATGGTCTTGTTTTTTTTTTTCCTTCTTTTATCTACAACTTGTATAAAGTAAGTATATTTAAGAAAATATGGGAAGGTCCTGACAGCCCAGAGGCAGCTTTAGCCAGAGCCCTTTGTGTAGGGCTGAGAGAGGTGCAGTGGGTTGACCTTGAAGGCTGCCCGGCCCAGCTCAGCTCGATGGCTGGGCCAAGGATGAGCCGATATTACCGAGAACGGACAATGGCATTGCTAGAGCCCCCCAGTTCCCTTCCAGCTGTGAACTGCATGTTCTTCTGCTTTCCAGATGTTTGGTGCCTTTTGTTCCTCATCTCTCCGACTCAGCAAAGGTTTTTATGGTACTGGCGAGACATTCCTCTTCTCCTTCTCCCCACAGCTGAAGGTGATGCTCACACTTTCTACAGGTGTCTGTGTGTGTGTGTGTGTGTGTGTGTGTGTGTGTATGTGCACATGTGCTAGTGTCTATGGCAGGACACAGCTCCAGGGTCCCAGTGCCCCTGGCTGACCAGTATCTGTCCCCAGAGGGGGAATGTAGCAGGTAGTGGACAGAGCGCACCCTGGGCTTGTCCCTCTTTTAAGAAATGCGCCCTAGGTGTCCATACCCACTGACAGGTGGGCAGGGAGGGACGCTGTTCACCAGATGCAGGCTGGAAAGACAACATGGGCCCAAGTGCAGGTGGGCCTAAGGGTGGGGTGCCAGAAGGACGAATCCAGTGGCTTCTTTTTGGGGTTTGTTTGTTTTTTAAGACAGAGTCTCACTAAGGAGTTCAGGATGGCCTTGAACTCACTATGTAGCCCACGGTGGCCTTGAACTTTGGGTGACCCTCCTGCCTCAGCCTCCCAAGTGCTGGGATTACAAGTGTATGCCACCATGCCCAGCCCAGTGTCTTCTTGGAAGCATGGGATGAGGGCCTCAGCTAAAGTGAAGGAGGAGGGGAACAGTCTTGCAGTATGCAGAAAGGGGACCTGGAAGAGGCCGGTTAGAGAGAGACAGCTAGGCTATGTGGCCCCAGGCCTGTCCTCCCTCCCTGGAGTGCTTCCACCTGCAGCACCCTGCTCCTCATCTGGGTGATCCGGGTCCTCCGGGTCCTCCAGGACTGGGGCTCTGCTGAGCTTGTTAAGCAGAGGCAGGTGACAGAGTACATGTGTGGGGTGGGGAGGGGACAAAAAAAGGAGCACAAACCCCAGGCTGGACAAGGGGTGAGGAGAGCCAGAGGGGCCTGAAGGTCCGGAGCCAAGGTGAACTCCATGGAGCAGGGTCTCCTGAGAGGACATGGAGCAGTGACAGCAGCTGAACAGGGTCAGGAGACAGGAAGCGGCAGGCAAGCGGCATTAAAGACTGCAGGGCGGGGGATTTAGCTCAGTGGTTCTGCCGCTTGCTTGGCAAGCGCAAGGTCCCTAGTTCGATAATCAGTATTAAAAAAAAAAAGCGGCGGGGGACCGGAGACAAGTTCCCAGACTGGGAAACAGCAGTTGGAAACCCCTGGAGGCAAAGAGGAAAGGCGCTGAAGGCAGAGTGGATCATGGGAGAAGGTGACCTTTAGCACAGAGCTGCGGGGAGGAGGGACAGCAGGTCAGAGCTCGGAGACCTGGGCAGTGAATGACAGGCACAAGGTAACTGGTGCCTGGTGTCTCAGATGGCACACGCTGCCCAAAGCTGGGGCTATCTTATTTTTATTTTTGGCAATACAGGTAATTGAACCCAGGGTCTCGGCACTGAGCTACATCCCAGCTCCCTTTTGTATTTTTTATTTAGAGACAGGGTCTCGCCAATTTGCTACATTGGCCAGGTTGGGCTCAAACTTGCAATCCTCCTGCCTCAGCCTCCCAGAGTGCTGTGGTTACAGGTGTGTGCCACCATGCCTGGCAGTGCTGGGGCTTTTGAAGAATAGTAGTTCCAAATACCTTCCTTTCAAGGGTTCTATCTCTGGGTTACTTATTCAATGATGCTACTGAGCCCTATGTGCTTGGTGCAGGGTGTACTGCTTTTACTACCAACAGACAGCAGCACCTCACAGGTATCCAGTTTGCCACCTCCACAAACTGATGCATTGAATTGTCACAACAACCCTATGACGTGTGTATTATCACTCCCATCCTACAGATGAGGAAGCTGAGAAACAGAGAGGCTGGGTATGGTGCAGGCGGTACAGGGTACTCAGAGCTGAGTACAGAGCACGGAGGAGCAGTACAGCCTCTAGTGGGGGAATCACGGGAGCTTCCTAGAAGAGGAGCTTCTGTTGCTGGATCTTGCTGAGCAAATCAAAAGTATCAAGTAGAGGGCCGGGGATTTCGCTGCCTGCCTTGCAAGCACAAGGACCTGAGTTCGAGCCCCGGTACCAAAAAATAAAAAAATAAAAAAGACAAAAAGTATCAGGTCGTGGAGGGAGGCAAAGGAATCGGTCCACTTGGAGCTGTACAAAGGCACAGAAACCGGGGAAAAGAAAAAGCATCTTTAAGAACCCAAGAAGAAGGGGAGGGTCAGGATGCGTGGGTCAGGCATCATTACTGCTTTGCACTGTCACAGCAAGTCCTCAAGGACTGGGACTCATTCCTGGTTTGTTCAGTGGATGCACAAACAGCTCCAGCTGCTCTGGTTTGCTGCGAGGGATCTCCTTTCCCGAATGCCTGCAGAGACAACCAGCACAGGGCCCGCTCACAGGAGCAGGGACTGCCTTGCTCAGGGCACCACGCCTCTCTGCCACACAGAGTCCCTGCCAGATGGCCTCCCTCACCCTTCCCAGGAGACAAGCGGAGGTCAGGCAGTGTGGCCAGCCCGCTGGAGGCCCCGCCATCACCACTTGCCTGTGTTCCTACACAGGGACTCTAAAGTTCTGGAATTTTCTGTACTGGCAGCTCTTTTGCTGGTTCCTTCTCCATTTTTTTTTTTTTTTTTTTTTTGGGAC